CAGTATCAAAGGTTTTTGGCTTTCTCATCTTTGGAGTAAAATGGCTTATACGTCCCCCTTCATCTCCTATCTATGTTCTAGAACAGACATGTCAAACTCACGATATCACGTGACGTCACGAGACAGATCAGGCCAGTTTTGTCATTGCCAGCAATGGGGTGGGCATGGCTTTCGGATGATGCATCCGGCCCACGGGCTGGCAGTTTGACACCCCTGTTCTAAAATAATATAACATGTTTTCCAGTTGTAATTCCCCTGTTACAAAATGACTTTACATTTCTAGACTTATTCTCCATTCTAAGGCACTATTTCAAAAAAAAAAAAATTCAAGGTCAAACAAACACTTTCTCTATCTTGATCCAGAGAAACTGACAAGGCAATTTACAGCCTACTAGTACTAAAAGCACCTTTATTTGGAAATAAACAGTCATATTTCTGAAGCATTTGGAGTTACAGTAGGTCATGACTCATGTACCAATAGAAGAGAATATTTGTAGCTCAGGGTTGAATTGTGGGGTCCTCAGTGCTCTCTGAGCCTAGTGGTTTTCTTGAAGATATTTCATTACCATATTCAGTTACATCATCAGTGCTGGTTTCCTAGTTTGGTAATGACACCTCTGCAAGCAAACAACCAAGCTCAGAAAGCACCAAGCACCAAGGTCCCCACAGTAACTCATGCTGTGTTCCATTGGATGGTAAATGTTATGTCATTCACCCACTCAATGTTGAGCTTTTCTTATCTGTGTAAAATTAGCCCTTCTAGACTTCCGAAGGTGCAACCATCCTTGCCATAATCAAGTGCATCTACTTTGCTCTGGTTATTTTTCCTTTCCTTCTATCTTTCCCATTATTATAGACCTCTCAAGAGAGCTAGGTCTTCATGTAATGTATCCACAATATGGTAATTCGAGGCTGTTCATTTCTTCATGAAACAAAAACGCTGCATTGATTTGTTCTATGATCATTAGTTTGTTTCCTTGACTATCCATGGTATTCTCAGGAATCTTGCCCAGCACCACAGTACAAAAGCATCAGTACTTTTTATATCATTATATGTTATATTACCTGTTTTTTTTTCAAAGTTCATGAATTTCCATTAGTTCTCCCAATGCTCTGTACTTCTGAATTTCTCCATCCATATGACTTTCCTCAACTAATTCTATCAGCAATCATGACTCTTGTTGCTTGGCCTTTTCTAAAACCAGCTTGAACATCCAGCATTGTTAAATTAATACATTTAATATAGTGACAGATCTAGAGATTAAAATTTCCCATAGCCAGAAAATGATATTAGAGATAATGCTGCCAAGAGGCACACCTCCCAGATTTTCCAGAGAATCATCTGTATCTTATTTCTGAGTTTTACCGACAAATTTTACGAAACCATTAAAGGATTCATTTTTTTTTCATGGTGACCATTAATCTTTGCTTAAACATTAGGGAAAGCAATCCCTCAAAAAAAATATATTTCCCCCGAGAATGGTGAGGTTGACACCTGTGAGCAATAATTTTCTTGTGCAATAACAATTAAATGAAAATTCAGATTCATGAAAGAATGTTCCCTGAGGATGCAAACAAGCTTCTGACTACAATTTGTGCAGCCTGACACTTGAGGAAATGGTAAACAATATAGTCAAACAGCTGGGTCTTCCACATCTTAGCACTCTGTTCTCATACTTGAGTAAAGACAGGGCTGGCTTAAGCTTAATTGATGTCTTAAGCACAGCCCAGCAGGGGTAGTCCTCAACAGAAGTGAAACTCTCACACTATGAGATGGTAACAAATGTGAATGTCAGACCAATCTTTCAAACCTTAGTCACTCACTAGGCAAAACATCTTTTTTAACAATGCAGATACATGGCGGATACTGGTAGGAACGATTACCAAAAATTCAGCTAAAGTCAAACATGGCAGTGAATGATTTAAGGGCATGATAGCTGGGTAAGGAACTTTGCTGTGCTCCCTTGCCTTGGTGCCCTAAACTAGTGCTTATTTTGCTTAATGGTTAATCCAGGGCTGACTAAATTGCCAGGATGAGGACTTATCCCATGAAGGATGTCCTGTGGAAGAGGGTGGGGAAACCTTTGTGGTCACCGCCCTCCACAGAAATGTTTGCCCAGTATAAATTAGAGACACCCACACTGCAAGCTAGGGGAATCCAAGTGGCCATGCTAACAGGACATGGTTGGTGTCTTGTTGAATCTTTCTCATTATGTATTATAGAAACATAGAAAACTTACAGCAGAAAAAGACCTAGTGTTCCATTGAGCCTGCCTTTTAAGTTTGTTTTCAGTTTTCTTATTTATTTTTATATTATTATTTTTATATGATGATGTTGTTGATGATGATGATGATGATGATGTCAGATGATGGACAGGTATTTGTCCTGAGCTTATTTAAGCTCGATTACTGATGATCGGCCTCCACTGGACATTGCTTCCAAGCTTTCATTACTCTTTCTATGAATTAATACTTTCTAAGATTTCTTTTAAACTTTCCTCCTGTCAGTTTGAGGTTCGGCCCCCGTGTTCTTGATTTTGGCTTAACATTGAAAATACTGCCTTCTAAAATCTCATTCACACTCTTAATAGTTTTAAAGATTTCAGTCATGTCAGATTCCCTTTTCCTTCTGTCCTCCTGGTTGTACATATTCAGTTCTTCCAATCTCTTCTGATATGTTTTGTTCCTCAGATCTTGCACTATTTTTGTTCCCTGTCTCTAGACTCACTCAATCTTATCAATATCTTTTTGAAGGGAGGTCTCTAGAACTGGACACAATATTCCAAATGGGATTATCTTCTCATTCTCATCTTGATAGTCCCTTTCTCTTTCTCCAATTCATTTCTGTCTTTTCTACTTGTTTTCAATCTTATCTTCCTTCATTTCCTTCTCCTCATCTGTGATGAGTGATTGCAAAGACAGAACCTGCAAGAAATGAAATGTTAAAAAATCATGTGCGGTAATGGTAACTATTGAAAGTAGAATATACTAGTTTTTTTATTTGTACAGCATGGCTCATCTATATTTTATTGGTTTTGTAATTTGCTAACCTTTGTTTTTGTCTATATGCCGCTTTATTGCCATTTTAATTTTACTACTTAGTGACAGACTGAGAATGATTTGTATGTGGCTGGTCATTTCCCCTCAAAAAGATAACAGTAGAGTTGATAAACAATTAGGAGGCTACAGATGAAAGCTAGAGGAAAACAATGTGGTGCTTAAGATTTTTTTTAAACTTGAAAACAGGGAGAAAAAAAACGTCTAAAATATCACGTATAATATGGAAAATATAGCTGTAGGAAAGCTTTTCACCTATCTCACAATATTAAAACTTGGAATCAATTAAATGCAGAGAAATTGAAGACTGATAGAAGAAAATACTTTACATAAGGCAAATCGTGGAATTCTCTGACATCTGATATTTAGATATGTTAAAGAGAGATTGGACAAATACATGAAGAATCAGGTTATCAAGAGACTATGGTACAAAAAGATGCTGAGACCCTAGAAATTCTGCAAAGAAAATGTCAGAGCAAGTACAGTCTTATTGCAGTGAAGTAAATACAGTAAACAGTGGTTTATAATTAAATGTGGTTTATATTACACTATACAATATACACTAGAAATAAGATACATACAGGTGGTGAAACAGCAAACTCCAGTATACAGTAGTTACAGCAGTCAAATGGATGAGAGAGAGAAAAATTCCAGCAAAAAACTTCCCTTTTATATTCAGACTCTTAAAGGGATATATACACCTGCTGAGTCATTCTTATTATTGCATCATCCACATTACATTACATCTTTACATAAGCTGTTTAACTGTTAAATTATTATCCTGACAAAAAACCTACAAAGATGATAAAGGTTCTGGAGATCAGATCATATGATGAATGATTGAAGGAGCTAGGTATGTCTAGACTAGGGGTAGGCAACCTTGGCTCTTTTATGACTCGTGGACTTCAACTCCCAGAATTCCTGAGCCAGCACGGTCATAAAAGAGCCAAGGTTGTGTATCCTTCATCTAGACTATCGAAGAGAAGGCTTAGAGGGGACATGATAACTGTTTCCCAATACTTGAGGGGCTGTCACAAAGAAGAAGGAACTAACTTATTCTCCAAAATACCTGAGGGCTGGACAAGGAATAATAGATGTAAGCTTGTTAAAGAGAGATCCAATCTAGAAGTAGGGAGAAGTAGAGGATAGTGAGAATAATGGAATAGCTTGCCTCCAAGAGTTGGGTGCTCCATCCCGGAAGGTTTTCAAAAATAGACTAGACAACCATTTGACCAGGATGGTATAAGACCTCCTGCTTTGAGGTCCCTTCCAGCTCTATGATTCTATGTTCTATAGTTTTTTCAACTTCCTGTACAGCAATAAGCATATACCACAAGCTATTGGAAAGCAGCGATACAAGTGGCCAAAACTTCTCTGGTCAAACCTGTGAACTTTCTAGAACAAGGGTCCTGCTCATGCCAGAAACCGGACCACACAAACAAGTGAAGCCTCATCCACAGCATGCAGGCAACACATGAAACCACTTCTTCCCCCACCCCTCCATGGAACCAGTCCCAGGTGCCCAAAAGGTTGGAGAGGGCACTGTCCTAGAATGCTGGACTTGGTGGATCTTTGCTTCTCGCTAGCAGAATGTTTTTTAACAGTTTTATCTACTTGTATTTTTTTTAAAAAAGTTTATTCTGGAAAACAACCAAGCTCAGAGAGCACCAAGCCTCTACAGGTCAGCCCTGAGCTACATATATTCTCTCCTTTTAGAATCACAGTTTGTTTGATGTCTGTTTGAGAAGCCAAAGATGTAATAGATAACTATGCTGGACAACTATTTTCTGTTTCTGCAGCAGTAACTATATCTCATAGTTGGATTGAAGGAAATGTTTTATCAGAGATTTTCATCTTGATGATTTATTATCTTGTGAACAAGATATATCTCCAAATATGCATTCAAGTCTTAACTAACAAAACACATCTTCTTCTTTCCCAAGTTCCAGGATCTTTTCTTAGAAGTCAGCAGTACATTTTCATCATCTTTTCTGAAGTTGGACAACTCACACTTCTGAAGCAAAGAGGTTTGCCAAATACATGAATAAAAAGCAATTTTTTAAAATAAAGCAAAGCTCTCAAGAATGTATAGGAAAAACAAAGACAGAAATGAGACTTTGCACCAGGTCTGACTAGAAAATGAATCATTGGACATAATAATAAGTGAGAAAAATTATATTCTTGTTCAGATACTTTACAACTGACCGTTAAAAGGTTATGCATTGAGAAAGAAAGAAATGGTGTGTATAACTACTGTTGCAACTGAAAGGATAGAATTGGAAGTTTAAGGTTGCAATGCTCCCAGCAAATATTCCCAAAAGCATTGGATCATTCAGAGTTTGCTCTTTAACATCATACAAATCTATAGAAGGTTTGACTTTAGAATCAATTTCCTGGTTTCTAGCATTTGTTTTTTTCATAACTCAAGTTGTTCAACAGGGGGGAAAAAGTGCCAGCAAAATGACTCTGACTTTCCTGAATAAAACATTTTATAGTTTCTTGTACGTGATCCCAGCAGATGCAGGATTTTACTAGACTGGAAAAACCTACTCCATATGAACCTAACTATCTTTTATCTTTATAGTTACGATCCAGTGGTTTTTATGCATTCATCTTTTTTATATGTTAGTTTTGAAAAAAAAATCAAAATTGAAAAGGGCCAGGAAAGAAAATGTTTCACCAGTATTTTTTTTTAATCACAGTTGTTCTACATCTATTTGCAAGTTACTCACAGAGACTTACCAGATTGGAAGAGCATGAAGCTGAAGGCCAAAGTATTAAATCTAATGTTCACCACTACCCAAATCCTGTCTTGCAAACATGGTGTCATCTGGATACCATCTGTGGCAATTAATTCCACAAGGGAAGGCTAGTCCTAAATGACATCTCTTTAAAAACCTCTGGGTTCCTTCAGTGAAGCAATGCCATCTATCAATATCCCACAAATGCCTGCCCTCTGGAATGAGGTTCCCTTGAAATTTGAGTGGTTTTCACCCTACAGATACTTGGAAGGATCTTCACCCAGCCCTTTGGTGGGAATGAAGGATACACCTTTCTTCCTTTTTGTTACCCTCTGGATTTGTGCTGTTTTTGCTATTTTCCACATTGTTCTTTGTTTTGGAATGTTTTTAACAATTGTAAACTGCCCAAAGCTGCTGGGAGTTGGGTGGCATATAAATTTAATTTATTTTTATGGTTGGTTCCACAGTCAGCCAGATATTTAGTCTGGATTTGGCATTTTTATCTGCCTATCGAATCTTTCCCTGGACCTGGAACAGGAATTTGATGTTTGATGGTGTTGAAGCTATTAGTTGTTCCAAATAAAGCTACCTTTTGCAATTGACCAACAGTGATTTTGTCAATGTCAATGATACTTAAGTGGTGTTCTCGTTGTTTTGGGATTGTACCCAAGGCATCTCTTATTATTGGTATTATCTTCGCTTTTTTTAATCACAGTTGTTCTACATCTATTTGCAAGTCTTTGTATTTTGTTATCTTCTACATTTCTTTTTCCTCTATTCTGTTGCTTCCAGGCACTGTTGGTCCACTTATCCAGACTTTTTTTGTCTTTCTTATTAACAGCTGTTAAGTCTGAAGTGCTGCATAGCAGGTGCTTGTCTCTTTGAATTCTAAAGTCTCAGAACACTTTAGCAATAGCAATAGCACTTAGACTTATATATCACTTCATACTGCTTTACAGCCCTCTCTAAGCTGTTACAGAGTCAGCATATTGTCACCAATAATCTGGGTCTTCCCCTCTCTCCCTTTACCTTCTTCATTTTCTATTACTTTGTCTATTTGTTTCCAGGCAAATAGTATTTCTTGCAGATATTCCAACGCACCATTGTTGCTATTGTTATTATCCTTTCATAACATTGTGAATTCTTCTATATAGGATAATACATCTAGATCAGGTGGAATGCTCTTCTGGGAGCCAATCTGTTCCATTAAGGCATCTGCAGGGAGGGCAAGGACAAAATGGACACTGTGAGATCATCAATCAAATGCCACAACTTTTGTGAAGTATTAGTACTACTTTATAAAATCCTAGTAAGACCAAACCTGGAATACTGCAGCCAACTTTGGTCACCATATTATAAAAAAGATGTTGAGAGTTTGGAAAAAAAAATCAGAGAAGAGCAACTAAGATGATCAAAGGCTTGGAGACTAAAACATAGGAAGAACGGCTGCAGGACTTGGATCTGGCTAGTCTGAAGAAAAGAAGAAACAGGGGCGACATGATAACAGTATTCCAGTATTTGAGGGGCTGCCACAAAGAAATGGGGTCACATTATTCACCAAAGCATCAGAGGGCAGGACGAGAAACAATGGTTGTAAACTGACCAAAGAGAGAAGCAACCTGGAATGAAGGAGAAACTTCCTGACAGTGAGGACAATTAATCAGTGGAACAGATTGCCTCCAGAAACTGTGGGTGCTCCAATACTGTAGATTTTAAAGAAGAGACTGGACAGTCACTTATCTGAGGTGGTATAGGTTCTCCTGCTTGAGCAGAGGGGCTGGACGAGAAGACCTCCAAGGTCCCTTCCAGCTCTATTCTATTTTAATGTACTTGCATGGGGAAGTATGGAATAACGTCATCACTGCATGCATATCAGCATGCCAACATTTTGCCCTTTCAACATTTGCTGCAGACAGGTTGTCAAGCTTTATAACACCGAATATTAGTTGCAGGTGTGATTCATCTTCTCAGATTAATAGACACATTACACACAAAAAAATATCTACCTGATGAACCACTTTGCCATGCTAAGACAAGCCCATCCTACTCCCTACTTTTGAAGGGAGTCTGGGTAGCCATTTGTCTGGAATGGTGTGGATTGGGCAGCGGCTTGGACTGGAGGACCTCCAGGGTCCCTTCCAACTTTGTTATTCTGTTATTCTGCTATTCTTTCTATGATCACATGTATCCATCCCATCAAGCCCAAAGATAGTCCGGAATTTTAAAGGATCTTCTGCCATGGGCAGGGGGTTGGACAAGAAGACTCCCAAGGTCCCTTTCAAGTCTATTATTCTATTATTCAGCAGGGAAGGCCTACTTCAGATCCCATTGGTCAAAGAACTCCGAATGTGGGGATCCAGGAGTGCCTTCTCTGCTGCAGTGCCTGCCCTTTGGAATATATGAGCCGAGGTGGCGCAGCACTTAGAGTGCAGTACTGCAGGCCACTTTAGCTGACTGTGTTCAGCAGGTCAGCGGTTCAAATCTCACCGGCTCAAGGTTGACTCAGCCTTCCATCCTTCCAGGGTAGGTAAAATGAGGACCCAGATTGTTGGGGGCAATGTAAATATATATTATTATATATATATATATATAATATATATATATATATATATATATATATATATAGGTCTTTGGTTGTTCGGGTTTTCTCCCGCGTAAAATTGGAAGTGTCTTGGCAACGTTTCGACGAAGTCACATTCGTCATCTTCAGGCTGGTGTTTTTAGCTTCGTGCTTTGAGCAGCAATGTGTGGTTTTAGCTGTTTCTTCCTTTTAACTGCCAGTGAGGGTATGAACTGATTGGGTGGGAGCTTGGCTGTGTTCTGATTGGGTGGAGGTGTGTTCTGAATGGTTAGGGGCTTGGCTGTGCTCTGATTGGCTGGGGGAGTGTTCTGTTTGGTTGTGCTCAGGTTAGTCTGAGTTGCAGAGGGGTTTAAGATTTTGGGGTTAGGGAGTCGTTTGTCAATAAGGGCAGGTTTCCAAATGGCTGGTAGGCGGGAGGTATCATCTCGCTTGTTCATGCTGTGTGGGCGTTTTTCTATCTCGATGGCTTCTCTGATTATTCTGTTATTAAAATGTTCACTTTTGGCAATGGTTCTGGTATTTTTAAAGTCAATTTCATGTCCTGTGGCTTTAAGGTGTTGGACCAGGGAAGATGTTGGTTCCTCTTTTTTGACTGAGTTCTTATGTTCTTCAATGCGTGCACTTATTCTTCTGTTGGTTTGTCCGATGTATGTGGTGGGACAAGTGGTGCATGGGATTTCGTATACTCCTTGATTTTCTAATTCAATTTTATCTTTGGGGTTTCTAAGGATGGTGGATATTTTTCTGTTTGTGCAGAATGCTGTTTTGATGTTGTGTTTATGGAGGATCTTACTGATTCTGTCTGTGGTGCCTTTTATGTATGGGAGGAGGGCTTTGCCGTTTTCTTGTTCTTTGTCTTGGATTTTAGTGGGGGTTTCTTTTTGGATTAGGTTTGTAATCTTATTTCTATGGAATCCATTGGATGTTAGTACATTGGTGAGAGTGTGTAGTTCGGGTTTTAGGTGTTGTTCGTCAGCTAAGCGTTTTGTTCTGGAGATGAGTGTCTTGGCTACAGAGTTGATCTGTGCTGGGTGGTGGTGTGAGAGAGCGTGCAGATAGCGGTTTGTGTGTGTTTTCTTCTGGTAGATGGTGTGTCCTAGGGAGCCATTGGATTTCTTGTAGACTAAGACATCCAGGAAGGGAAGTTGGTTGTTAGCTTCTGTTTCCATGGTGAACTGTATTTTGGGGTGTAGGCTGTTGAGGTGTGTGAGGAAGTTGTCCAGTTTTTCTTTCCCATGTGGCCAGATTATGAAGGTGTCGTCTACATATCTGAGCCAGAGTTTGGGTTTGTGATCCGATTTTTCTAGAGCTTGGGTTTCAAAGTGTTCCATGTAGAGGTTGGCAATGACAGGTGAGAGGGGTGATCCCATGGGTGCTCCTTCTGTTTGTTTGTATTTTTGTCCATTATAGATGAAGTATGTGTTGGATAGGCAGTGGTTGGTCAGATCTAAGATGTGTTTGGGGGGGTTATATTTGTTTTGAATAGCTGTCAAGGCTTCTTTGATAGGCACTTGGGTGAAGAGGGATATGACATCGAAGCTCACGAGTAGGTCGCTGGGCTGTAAGTTTTGTTTCTTTATGATCTCTATAAACTGGAATGAGTTTTTTACGTGTGAGGTGATGGATTCTGCATAGGGCTGTAGTTGTTTGGCGAGAAATTTGGCTAGGTTTTGTAGAGGTGAGCCTATGGAGCTGACTATAGGTCTGAGTGGGGTTCCTTCTTTGTGTATCTTGGGGAGACCATAGAGTTTGGGGCATCTGGATGATTTCTCTCTGGGAATGATTCTTTGCTGGATCTCTTCGCTAATGGGGGAGGCTTTTATCTTGGTTCTGGTGGTTTTTTCCAGGTAGGTGGTGGGATCTGTATTTAGGGGTTTGTATGTGGAGTCTTGGAGTAGGTTGGTTAATTTGGTTTGGTAGTCAGATGTGTTCATAACCACCGTGGCGTTGCCCTTGTCTGCTGGTAGGATTATTATGCTGGTGTCTTCTTTCAGGTTACGTAGTGCTGTCTGTTCCTCTTTGGGTAAGTTGCTTTTGGGTGGCTTGCTGGTGCAGAGGATGTTGGTGATTTTGAGTCTGATTTTGTTAGCGTCATCGGGGTTGATTTTGGTCAGGCTGTTTCAACTCCACATATAATGGTTTCAGTGGGGATGTGTTTGGGAGCGACTGCAAAGTTGAATCCTTTGGAAAGGACATTGGTTTCGGCTTTGGTGAGGATCCTATCTGAGATGTTATGCACTGTTTGTTCATGTGTGGCTGTGGAGGGAGGAGGGGTTTGTTTCTGGCGTTCTTGTAGTCTTCGGAGTTTGTTGGTGTGTGTATCTGTCTTGAGGGTGGTCTGTGTTTCGGCTCTCCAGACGGCGAGTTGTTTGGATTTGTCCCAAAGTGCGGGGTGGATCTTGTTGCTGAGTTTGAGGTGGAGTGTGAGGAGATCTTTGTTAATTCGGTCTAGGAGGAATCTTTTTGTGTGAAGTTCATTTCTGATTAGGGCCAATTCTGTTCTTTTCAGGATCCGTTTGGTGGCTGCAGAGTTGGAGTGGAATTTCAGTTGGAAACATGTGGGGATTAGATTTTGATCTCGGCAGTTACGTAGGAATGCGAGGTCACATAAAATGGAAGCTCTTTGGACTTCAAGTTTTTCATAGGTCCTGGTCAGATGGTGGATTTCCTCCCCGTAGAGGTTCGATATTTGTTTTCTGAGGTTTTCGCGGGTATTTGTATATAGGTCTTTGGTTGTTCGGGTTTTCTCCCGCGTAAAATTGGAAGTGTCTTGGCAACGTTTCGACGAAGTCACATTCGTCATCTTCAGGCTGGTGTTTTTAGCTTCTTGCTTTGAGCAGCAATGTGTGGTTTTAGCTGTTTCTTCCTTTTAACTGCCAGTGAGGGTATGAACTGATTGGATGGGAGCTTGGCTGTGTTCTGATTGGGTGGAGGTGTGTTCTGAATGGTTAGGGGCTTGGCTGTGCTCTGATTGGCTGGGGGAGTGTTCTGTTTGGTTGTGCTCAGGTTAGTCTGAGTTGCAGAGGGGTTTAAGATTTTGGGGTTAGGGAGTCGTTTGTCAATAAGGGCAGGTTTCCAAAGGGCTGGTAGGCGGGAGGTATCATCTCGTTTGTTCATGCTGTGTGGGCGTTTTTCGATCTTGATGGCTTCTCTGATTATTCTGTTATTAAAATGTTCAGTTT